CAGTGGTGCCCCGCAAGACGAACGCCTCGCAAGACGGAAAACCCGCTAGACGAAAGGGTTTTCCGTTTTGGAGGCGCTCATAAACGCAATTTCCCTATGGGCTTGCTTCGCAAGACGAAAGCCCATCGGGAACTCTCCGGGCACCTCTTTTAAATGCGAGCGGTGGGGCCCAACGCCTGCCCCCCCCCTCCGGCCTTCCGAAGCGGTCCAGGAAGGATGGCGGGGGCCGAAAGGCTTTGCTCCCCACCGCCAGCATTTTAAAAGCAGTCCGGGATAGCAGGGAAGCGCTTCCCGCTATCCCGGACGGCTTTTGAAGGCAGGAGAGGTCCGCGAAGCCTGCGCGCGCTGAGATCAGCGCGCCCAGGCTCCGGCATGCCGGCAACTCTCCGCAAGCAGCGGCAGCGCTGCCGCTGCTCGCGGAGAGGTCCGCGAAGCCTGGGCGCGCTGATCTCAGCGCGCGCAGGCCTCGGCATGCCGGCAACTCTCCGCAAGCAGCGGCAGCGCTGCCGCTGCTCGCGGAGAGGTCCGCGAGCCTGGGCGCGCTGATCTCAGCGCGCGCTGGCTTCGGCAGGCCGGCAACTCTCCGCAAGCTGCGGCCGCGCTGCCGCTGCTCGCGGAGAGGTCCGCGAAGCCTGGGCGCGCTGATCTCAGCGCGCGCAGGCTTCGGCATGCCGGCAACTCTCCGCAAGCAGCGGCAGCGCTGCCGCTGCTCGCGGAGAGGTCCGCGAAGCCTGGGCGCGCTGATCTCAGCGCGCGCAGGCTCGGCATGCCGGCAACTCTCCGCAAGCAGCGGCAGCGCTGCCGCTGCTCGCGGAGAGGCCCGCGAAGCCTGGGCGCGCTGATCTCAGCGCGCGCAGGCTTCGGCATGCCAGCAACTCTCCGCAAGCAGCGGCAGCGCTGCCGCTGCTCGCGGAGAGGCCCGCGAAGCCTGGGCGCGCTGATCTCAGCGCGCGCAGGCTCGGCATGCCGGCAACTCTCCGCAAGCAGCGGCAGCGCTGCCGCTGCTCGCGGAGAGGCCCGCGAAGCCTGGGCGCGCTGATCTCAGCGCGCGCAGGCTCGGCATGCCGGCAACTCTCCGCAAGCAGCGGCAGCGCTGCCGCTGCTCGCGGAGAGGCCCGCGAGCCTGGGCGCGCTGATCTCAGCGCGCGCAGGCTTCGGCATGCCGGCAACTCTCCGCAAGCAGCGGCAGCGCTGCCGCTGCTCGCGGAGAGGTCCGCGAAGCCTGGGCGCGCTGATCTCAGCGCGCGCAGGCTCGGCATGCCGGCAACTCTCCGCAAGCAGCGGCAGCGCTGCCGCTGCTCGCGGAGAGGTCCGCGAAGCCTGGGCGCGCTGATCTCAGCGCGCGCAGGCGGCGGCATGCCGGCAACTCTCCGCAAGCAGCGGCAGCGCTGCCGCTGCTCGCGGAGAGGCCCGCGAAGCCTGGGCGCGCTGATCTCAGCGCGCGCAGGCTTCGGCATGCCGGCAACTCTCCGCAGCAGCGGCAGTGCTGCCGCTGCTTGCGGAGAGGTCCGCGAAGCCTTGGCTGGACAGCTTTTGAAGGCAGGTGGGGGACAAGACTTTCGCCCCCGCCAGCCTTCAGAAGAGGTCCAGGACCTCTTCTGAAGGCTGGCGGGGGCAAAGTCTTTGTCCCCCTGCCTGCCTTCCCAGGGGCTTTAAATTGCCCCGGACAGCGGAGAAGTCCTCCGCTGTCCCGGGGCAATTTTAAAATGCCGCCCGCCAGCATTTTAAGATCGCCCCGGACAGCGGAGAAGCCCTCCGCTGTCCCGGGGTTTTTTAAAATGCTGGGGTGGGGGGGCAGAAAAGCCCGTGTCCCCCAGCCTTCAGAAGAGGTCGGGGACAGACTGTCCCGGACCTGGTCTGAAGTCGGTTTCCCTAGGAACGCATTAATTGATTTTCAATGCATTCCTATGGGAAACCGTGCATCGCAAGACGAAAAACTCACAAGAAGAAAAAACTTGCGGAACGAATTAATTTCGTCTTGCGAGGCACCACTGTAATCCAAACTTTGTGTTGTGCAATAGTTAATGTGTTGCACTAGGGCTTGGGAGAAGAGGACTTAAATCTCCATACTGGGGATTTAAGGGCCAGACACTGTGCCTCAGCCTAACTTACCTCACAGAGATGTTCTTGTTGTGAGGATCAAGTGGGAGTAGGGGAACCATATAGGTCACCTTGAGTTCCTTAGAGGAAAAGGAATATAGGTGCAGCCAGGAGAGATCCCAGCCACAACTGGCAACTGAAGAAGGTGAACTGCTCAGGGACCGCCTCTCTCCATATGAACCTACCTGGACCTGGAGATCATCCTCTGAGGCCCTTCTTCGTATGTCTCCTCCACGAGAGCTCTGGAGGGTGACAACACAAAAACGGGCCTTCTCTGCAGTGGCTCCCCATCTGTGGAATGCTCTCCCCAGGGAAGTTCGCCTGGCGCTTTCATTATACACCTTTAGGCACCAGACAAAAAACATTCCTATTCAAGGTCTTTGGCTGATTGACATCTGATGCCCTTTTAAATGTGTTGTTGGAGAGGGGGTTGCTGGTTTGCTGTGGTTGTTATTTCTACTATGTGTTCTGTGGTTTTTATATTGTAATGTTATGTTGTGAACCCCCCTGGGTCACAGAAGAATCCAGAGCCCAGAAGGAATCATGGAGAGAAACAGGTTGGCTGTGACTGCAGCATTCAGCACCCCGATTCATGGGGGTCCAGAGTTTTGGGACTGGAGGCATATATTTAGGAATGACAGAAACTGTTGCGGGCAGCATAAGATACACATTACATTGGTGGTGCTCACAAAAGACTACACATACAACACATATTTACATTCAAAACACAAAGAATGAATTCCCAGAACCTTTAACAAATTGCCAGGATTTAGGGAGGTAGAGAAAGACATTTAAAATGTGTATGCAGTCACACACACTACAAATGAGGCACAAGTAATACCCTTCCAAAATGGGCAAAATCCCCCAGCCACACAATCCACCCAAACTATCCCCCCCCCCCGTGGGCTGGGCAGGGGTACTTGGCAGCAACTACAGATGTGTGAGAGGCAGGAGATGTCCCCGGGTTGAAAGCACCACAAGCCCTTCACCTGGTTCGCCTCTCAGTGTTTCAGCTGGGCCTGACTCTGGGGTGCATGAGCTACTATTGCATTGCACCCACCACAGATTGTTGTGGGGCCTGAGGAGGCTGCGAAGGTTGCCTTTGGCTGCTGCCTGCCTGTGGCGTCACAAAAGAAAAGGCAAGTGAGTGGATAGAGAGGTGGGCTGGTGAGGGCAT